AACATCCAACCTCCGCAAAAAGAGAAAATCATATTATGTAAATGTAAATTTCTCCTGTGTGAGATCAATGAAGTCTATCTTATCTCTTAATGGACTAGGACAATGAAATAATTGTAGGAACAGCAGAATGCACAGACCCCCAACAGAGACGATGGGGCTTTCACCTTGGTTCACACTTGGGACTCACACTCTTGTCTCATCAGAAGAACCTCCGTCCATAATTTTCAGCCGGGTCGCGGCTGCAGCAGTCTAAGCAGAGACGCCCAGACTTCCCTATCCACAGACACTTCCTCCAGCTCTTCCAGGGTGACCCCAAGGCGTTCCCAGGCCAGCTGAGAGACAGTCCCTCCAGTGTGTCCTGGGTCTTCCCCGGGGCCTCCTCCCGGTGAGACGTGCCCGGAACACCTCCCCGGGGAGGTGTCCAGGAGACATCCGGAACAGATGCCCGAGCCACCTCAACTGGTTGCTCTCAACGTGGAGAAGCAGCGGCTCTACTCCGAGCTCCTCCCATGTGACTGAATTCCTCACCCTAGCTCTAATGGAGCGCCCAGCCACTCTGCGGAGGAAGCTCATTTCGACAGCTTATTTCCGCGATCTCGTTCTTTCAGATTTGGAGGTGCTGATTCTCATCCCAGCCGCTTCACTCGGCTGCAAAACATCCCAGTGCATGTTGCAGGTCCTGGTTTGTTGGAGCCAACAGGACAACATTGTCCGCAAATGGCAGAGATGAATTCCAGTGGTCCCCGAACCAGTGAACAGAACCAGTGACAAAGGGCAGCCTTGGCGGAGGCCAACATGCACCGGACGACCTACAGCAGAGGACCCCGTACTCCTGGAGAACCCCGACTGGGGTACCTCAAACCATTTTGAACTATGTAATCAAACTATTCCTTGCTCTCAAAACAATTTTGGTTGTATCATTAGTTTTCTCATGTATGCAGTATGAAAAAAACATACTGGATGTTTTCTAGTATGTTTTTGTGAAATCACATACTGCAGACTTCTGAAAATCTAAAATATTGCTTTACCCAAGAGAAAAACAAGATTCTCTTTTGTGGCATTGAAGTGAGATGAAATGATTTTCCTCTAAATGTGTTCTCCAACTAACCCTCACCACCAACTCTCATGAAACCATTTAAAGCAGAAATAATTTCAAGTATCAAGTTGTTCATTTGAATTTTGTATTGTTATAAAGTACTTGAATCTTGTATCTGACAAATTTCACTTAAATTACTGTGCTGTATCTCGAATAGTTAATGTAATATCAATAAAATACACCAGTTTTGATGTGATATAAATACAACACTCTTCTAAAGAATTGCATGAAAATATTGACACTATAGACCGCATCAGATCATAATCACACCACATGCAGAGCCATTGCAACTCATTTACATGTCATCTGTGAATAGAAACATAAAGCATGAATAGACCCAGCAAGGCATTTTGCTAGCTCCATGGGATAAATGAATCAAATTAAATCAAAATGTATTTATTACAAGTCTCCTAACCACAATAGCGTGTGCATTAGTATTCAGCAGATTCCCCTTTATAATATAATTTCTCTCTGGGGATGACACGCGGCGTGATTTGTGATTTAAAGTCCTCTAAGCAGAAGAGTGTTTGTCTAATTTGAGTGTGAATGTTGTTAATGATACAGACATAAAGGCGTTTAAAAGGCGTTACCCCCAGCATAAACAATGCATTTCCTTTCATGTAAATACACACACATTTGAAGAGTAGTAGCAGTGATATTATGCTATGTTATGCCATTGACCTTATTGACTTCTTCATTAATTATTATGTATTTTTTTCATTATACATAATAATGCATACTGTATTCATCTCTAAATATGACCAAAGCAATGGCATCTCTGAAAACTTTCAAGGACAACGGTCAAGTCAAGTCTCCTCAGGACGCAACAACAGTATGGCCTCATCCAAATGGTTTCCTCAATCATTTGGTAGCTCACCTTTAGAGTCAGCAGGAGGCAGCAACCTGGTAGAGCTGTATCCCTACATCTTTGTGTGTGTGTGTCCTTAGTTTTGAGTTTGTGTGTGCATGGGTGTGTCTTTAGTTTGGGTGTGGTCCCTTTGGGGCAACTCATGTGGTTTTACCACATTTACCATCAAGCTTCATCTGATAAAGACCTAAAAAAATAAGGGTTATTAAAAATAAGTAAAAACTATAACAAATGTGCACTTTATTTCTCCCTGTAGGAAACTTTGTCCTCTGCATTTGACCCATCCTGGAATGCCACTGGGGCCTCTGTCAGGAGCAGTGGTCACTGTACAGCACACGGTTGCTGAGAGGAAGGAGTGCTACTCAACCACCGTGCTGCCCAAGCATAAAAATAATTGTGTTATCAGTGCTCCTAGATCTTAGAAAAACAACAAAAGAAAAACAATTCCATTGTTTTCTTCAAGGAGTGAACATTAAAAGGTTATGGGAGCTGGGATCGTTACTATCGTTACTATTACTGGGTAAAAGCTTCACCAATTGACAGCCAAAGACTAAAGAATTACATAAATCCTATAAGGCTTACATCAGTAATTCCATAGAACAAGAGCCCCATGCCTCCTATTGCTTAGTGGGTGTTTTAATTACTTTCAATGGACATGAAATGTTAGGCCTGAAATGTTGGCAGGGATCTTTTCTTTAATCAATGGTTTAGCTCAACACCATAGGGCACATGCATGAATACTGATCCACGGCATGAGGTTCTGCTCTTTTGCAGCCTTAGAAACTACTTTGGTCCTGCTAACACGAGCCTTGTCCAAATAATGAGGCTGAAGGAGAGAGCAGATGAGGTTATGACGAATGATGCTTAATCCTGCTCAGGAGATATAACCACAAGTCATGCGGCACAATTTAAGCAAGTGCCAGCTTTGCCCTGCCAAATATTTAACATCAAGGGTGTCTGGATGCCACGCGCTGTTATCCGGTCGCTTTATTGTGCAGGGAAAATCCTCTATGTCACGCACCATGCAGGGATTTCAGCGGCTAATTTGATTCGTTTTGGGAAGTACTGCGTTTTTAGTACAAAGGCATGGTTTAAACAAGGCAAAAGTTATACAGAGGTTACACAATTGCTTGTGTGTTTACACACATATACTATATATATATATATACACACACATTTGTATGTATGATAATTTAGAGGATCAATATCAGAAAAGCTACTTCTGCTACTTCTTTTTGGTTGCATTTCTTTTAATCATTTTCATTTACTAACTACAAGAAGCATGGGTTAGATGGAAATACACGTGAAAATACTATGCTGTTGGTAAAAATATGATCTATGAGGCTACTGAGAAGATAAGGCTTCTTAATACAGCTAAGATATATATTTCAAGCAAAGGGATTTGTGTTACTCTCTTAAAGCTGGGGTATGCAACTTTAAAAATTGGATAAACCCTGTGTAACTATAAGTCCTGGCTATCAGTTTGTTTATAATACTAGCTTTCACATGTTCTTGTGGCCTGTCACAGCAGCTGTTTCTTTTTTTTCTTACAATTGTTGAAAGTTATGTTTTAAAAAGTGAACTTGTGTGCAACATCATGAAACTGGAAAGACACAAACTTTAAGCACAAATTTCACTCTGCAGCTTCTCGGCACAAAGAAGAATACATTGCAAACCTTAAACTTCTCATTAACTAGTCTTTCCATTGGCCTGATGGTGTAAACACATTTGTATTCATATAATTCACTGCACACTCTGCAAAGACTTTAATTAAAGCTAAAGGTAATCTTAGCTAGGAAGCTTAAACTAGGAGTGATTTCAGAATGCAAGCACAAGAGCTTTAAGACCATTACCAGCATGAGATTTTACCTCCCACGCATCTGGTACAAAGTTTTGGAGAAGAAAGAGTCTTACTTTGAATCCGTTATTATCAATAAGGCATTATTCCAAGACAGTATAATACCGCAGTGGAAATGGTTTGTTCTTCCTCGTCTAGCTGCCATTGTTTATTGCAGCTTTTGCCAACAAAAGCAATGACATTGTTTCCGAGACAGCTGGGAAATATTCTCATCATCACCCCAAATTCAGGTACTTTACTTGCCAAAAGAAATAGTGCAAGGAATGACTATGTATTCCTTGCACTATTTCTTTTGGCGGTTGTATGGGAGTCAACTGCTCAAGTTTTGCCAACATTGAGATAGAAATACAAACATTCCACTTTGTTTTGATTTTCTTGGTTGATAGGCAAAAGCCAATCTTCTTAATTTTCCACCCAGTCTATTTCCCAGTGTACTTGTACGTAAAGGGAATTTATGTACTTTTTCATAGGGTGATTAAAGATTTATACATTTCTAAGAAAATAGATCTGAATTACTATTAAAGCTAGGTTCGGTAACTTTCAGAAATTAAACTGTAGTACAAATCTACATGACTAATTCTTGGCTATAAACCAGCACAGTTCAGTTATTTTTTGCAGCCAATCATATCTAAGCTCAAAAGAGTCAGTAGTGATTGAGAGCCCCTTCTTACAAGTATGTAAAATATAACAAGTTTTCTGATAAAATGGAAGACAAAATGATGTAGTCTGATTTTAAACTTTAAGATCTTTTGTATGAGCGATTTTTTACAATTATGGGAAAGAAAAAAAACATCAAATACCTTGGCTTTAATAATCAGCAGCTATTCCTCTTGTTTGAGCGCTCCTTTTATTCTTACTGTTGTGTAATGTACGATGCAACACTGAGCTCAGATCCATGAGCCAAGCACTCACAATAAGAATGCACATTTTCATGTGCGAGAAAAATAAATAAAAAAATCAGCAATTAAATAAAATAAATAGACGTTTAATGCCATATGGCAGAAAATTACAGGCAAAAAAGTAACGTCTTTATTGTGACAAGTATTAAATCCATACTAAACAGTTTCTGAAATATTAATAAGTCCATTTTAAAACAAACTGTTTTTTATGAATAAGCCGGAAGATGTACAGGAGTCATATTTAGTGTGCATTAAAAAAAACAGCAAGTGATCATAAAACTAAGCATCTTGAAAGAAGGAGTCGAGGTCTTCTATCACCTCTGGCACTTCTACCGCTGCAGATGGAGCTTTGGTTTTATGTGGCGTTTCTGGCTCTCGTTTGGGCTCCCGCACTCCTCCACTCAGCAGCCGCTGGCTCTCCACAAAGTACTGGTTTGGGTGATTGAGCGAGAAGTTGGCATCTTCCACCTATAAAACACCAAAGAAAAGTTAGGTGGGCACATTTATGGAAGCTGCACGCTCCTCAAATGTTTAACTGTAGTAACATAAGTGTAATAACAAAATCCATCTAACTAGTTTCCTCGCTCTCCAAACTGTACCTGCTCTAGTTTTCGCACGCATATATTTTCAGCCTCCGTCACATCTTTTTCAGACAGACGAGAATGAGGGGACCGCCCTCACTCAGCTCTCAACCCAGTGAGTCAAATGGACTCACTGTACTCTTTCAAACACTGATACAAAAGATGACAAAATGTGGTCAGATTTATGAAATGAAGATGATTTTACCTTTACCAAACTCTTCCTTTTGGCAAGAATATTAAGTATTATATGTCCAATGAAAACGTTAGGAACCTCGGCTTAAAGAAAAAACAAAACCTTGACTTGATTGTGCACGTTTTGGCTAGACGTTTGTCCCAGACGTTTGTCCCATGTCCATTCATGAATTCACATTGTAGACTCAAGTCCACATTCATATGAGACATTCAACAACTTCAATAAGACAGGATTTGTGATAAAGAAAACATCCTAAAGCCACTAGTTTATTAACAGTAATGTGTCAACTTTAATGTGGACATTATTGTGGCTCTCATGGGCACATTAGCTGTTTATATTCCTGCAAACTATTCAATCACACCACACAAGCGATGAAATGGCCTTTCAACTAATAAAAATGTCAGAATCACTCACAATGAGTAAAAACCGAGGAATTAATTTCAGATTAGCGCCAAAGCTTTTTCTGTGACCTTTGGGAGCCGTCTGAAACTGCATTTGTGCGAGAGATTTATATTTTATGGATTGTATAGATGCTTATATATCAGCTTTACATACAAAAATGCATCCAGCGCAACTAATCAAAGTCGCAGTTGTGCTCCAGAGAAGATTATATCGGCTTCTACAGAACTTTGCATAACGGGTTTCTTAATTTATGATTATGTTATTCTTGTTTACGGTACAGTTAAAGCTGGAGCACTTAACCTTTTATTTGGTTTCATAAATGAATTGTGTTCGTCCCAACAGAATGAGTGTGAACGCAAACAGACCACAACAAGGCCTTTATCTAGAAAACATACTTAGGGCTGATACACCAGCACAACTTTTTCAGTGAAAGAGGCCAGAAGCACATAAGAGCGAGAAACTTTGATTAAACTAGAAACATAGATAATTATTCTATATATAGATCTTCTGTTGTAGTTTCAACGGTAGGCAGTAGTGCTTTAAGTCATCTCTCAAGTTGAATGGTCAAACTTTTTAAGCACTTGGTCTACACAGGTCTTTCTACAGATGTGATAGACACTGCAATTAGAAAATTACAATGTTAATCTCATCATCGTAAAATAACCGTGAAGCCAAAATGACCCAAATGAGACACTTATAGCCAGGAGCGAATGTTTTCCTCAGCATTTCCAAAACGAGGACCTTGTATGTGAGGGAAAGTGTGATGACTCAAGCACTAGACTAAAGAAGATTAAATTAAAGCAGTGTCCACGGGGGGAAAACACATCTAAATGCAATAAGAGGGCTATCAAATTAAGCAGCTGTGGCAGGCACCTAATGATGGATGTGATGACAAATAAAGGCCATGGCTGAGACGCAGGTATTTGCCACTATTCACCCCCTGGCTCTGAGCGCGTTCAAGTCGGTCCGAGTTCTGGTCAACATTTGGATTATTGAGTAAAAGGGCGAGCAACTTTCCACCTGAACTTTCCATGTCACTGTTTTGGTATTTGCTGCAGAATACAATATACAGATGTTTTTTCGTAAATAAATCAGCAATATTTAAGAAGGTATTTATGTGCTTACATTGTGGGTCAGCTCAAAGTACTTCTGACAGGCAAGCTGATAATGCATCCCTTTAACCAGCTCAAGGATCTGCAAAGAAAAGAATCAGAGAGATTGAAAATGAATGTTGGGCTTTCAAAAGCTTTGAGAATTTACAGCAGATACACAGCATTAAAATATTTGCACATGTATCATAAATCAGTTTGATTGAATGCTAAGAGGTACCATTTTTGCGCAGACACACGCAAACCATTAAAAAATAAACCACTGTTTCAGACCACTGTCCCCATTTGACAGAGATTGGTGGTTGTTTGGACAAATCCATTTCAATTTCTACAGCCCAAAATCACAGGTAATATTTAATAATAGCAACTTGAGAAATGAATGAAAAACAGGATAAGGAAAGTTCAGGGACAGGGACATTTTTTTTTTTTAAGAATTACTGAAGTCTTCTTTGGAAAGGAGAGCAAAATAAGAAAAAAATATATTTTTATTTTATTAATATACTATATTAAGCTTTTGGCTGCCGCTTTTTTCCCAAACAGACAAAAGGTGAAGCCCTGAAACCTTATAAGATAGAGAGATACTAAAAACAAGAATATAACTGGATAAAAAAAGATCAAAAATGAATCCCAAAAAAAAAAGCCAGAGTACTGTATAGTGTGCAGGGGTGCCCAAAGTGGGGCCCGTGGGCCAAATAGTGACGCTGTCAAATGTGACATGTCTGAGGTCGCGCGGGCGCATAGCCGCCCTCCGATCTCCAACTGTCCTGTACTTAACTGTTGTATCGAGATACACTCCTCACTCATGGTTCACATCAACTTGCACTAAAATGTTTTTTAAAATCAAACACATCTTTCAAAACAATTGGGTGCAAGGCACCTTTATGTTCTTTTTTTCAGCCTACTATTATTATTTTTTGAGCTATTTAATGTTTTATCAAATTGAGAGGATTGTGCTGCCGAACTGCCACTCCCCCTCCTCACCGGAGGGAAATGGCGAGTGGAACTATTCACCTGCGCAATCCGCACCCACCCGGTGTGTTAAAAAGGACGGACACAAACACTTCAGAGTGAGTTCAAGCAGGACAAGCAGGGATCGCAGCGCACGATCCACGCAAGTAGAAGCAACAAATACTGTGCAAAACAAACCCTTCTACAACCCCATGAAAGAAGCCGGTAAGCGCCGTCCTCACTCGCGATCATTGAATGTCAGAACTTAGAGTTTTTATGATGCGTTCAAGAGCCCTTTGGAGGAGCGGAAACTCGGACTCTTTAACAGTTACTTTGTTTTGATTGTTTATAAATGTTGTACTGTGTTTAGGCAAAACAAAACAAACTCCAGGAACAAATCATGGTTAACTAGTCTGATTTTGTTAGTTTAATATTCAGTTCACTACTAATTGAGAATACTTGCCCTATGTTAAAAATATTAAGTTAAAACAGAGTTAAAACCTGGTCATGTTTAGAAAATGCAGTTAGCAATTATGTTCCTAAATTCATTACTTAATGTTAAAATGTATTGTTTAAAAGTGTGCTAAAACCAGATCTATTGATCAGTGATGTCTCCCCTTTTTGATAAAAGCTAAGATAAAGTAATATGATTCCAATGTAGTTAAAAAGTATTGTTCAAAATAAATATATGAAAATAGACTTGGAAATTGCTTTGGCTCAGTGCAACAGAGATAATAAAAATAAAGAATAAAAAACACTTCTAAGGAATACATTTAAATTTAAAATAGAGTTACAGTTACTACTTACAATATACAAGTGCACATGGTGCACACAAAATGTATGTTTCTGTTCTCTTGAGGTTTTATTATATGATTTTAACCTTTAAATAAGCCATGACAGAAAATCTCCCTCCTCTGGACCCTGATTACGCGGCCGGAATCTTTCCGTACTGTAGTCTCCTCAAACCTGCATATTTCCCTGGAGCCTCCACTTCACTAAGACTGTGTTGATTTCATTCATTCAGCTGTGATTCGTGATGGACAATAATTAATGCATTTAAAAGAACTTGATCAAATCTACATTTATTTGTGTTTCATGCATAATATCGGTGTATTTGGCCCGCGGCCCACTGGCAAATTTTTACTTTGGCCCTTGGAAGCAAAAGTGTCCTGAAATCATGAGCTTATGTGAAATCAAATGCAATGTTAAACCCATTCTCTACATCCACAGAGTTTATACAAACATTTTAACGCAAAAGCTGCCTCTTTAGGGATGACTTTCTTTACTATAACAAGGCAGCAATTGCAGTTACATGTAAAGTCCCATCGAACGAGCTTCTGAAAAATGCACCGGACTTCACTCGGAGAGGGATTTTTCAGGGCGCTGTGTGGATGTGCTTCCTCATTATTCCACATCTTCCTGAAGGCAGCCTGCAGCGCTCACTTGCCACCAGCATCCTCCGACTCCGCGCTTACACCCTCCCCGCACCTTTTTTTGTGCATGTGTGAACTGTACTCGTTGTAAAAAAAGGCATATACATTAAGCCTTTAAATACTCCTGTGTCTCAGTCTCATATCTAAGTAACCACCGAGTCTACCATGTGTTTGGATTTATACGTTCAAAATGATGGAAGGTTGTTGGAAAGCCTCGCCTGATTGATTCCACTGGGCGACACCTTGTAAACCTGCAGCTTCTGTTTCAGCAGCTCCGGATCACTGTGGCGAAAGGGGCATCCTGCAAGAAAACAAGAAATCACCATCAGCCATAGCCTGGCCTCAGCCATCTGTACACTCTGCTCAATCATCATTTCACTGCATGTAACGTCTGGGTCTGGTCCCCATGTGATTACAATCGGTTGAATTTCGACCGACCAACCAGCGAGCACGGAAGGACAGTGTCGTATTTAGTTGTGGGTGACATCAAGAGTTTGCGTCGAACGGGAAGGTTGTAGTTTGGCAATGGCGAAAAATGCGATAGTAAAGTAACCCGGTCTGGTTCTATCAAGAAATTGAAGCCGAAGCAAGAGGAATGTTTAGCAAATGTAATCGCTAGAAGAAATTGTGGCGCTACTCCCCACGGGCTTTGTTAGCGGCAAAGGAGATGGCTAGGCTAAATGCTAACAACAGACTCGGGCGCATTACAAACGTCAGGGTTAACTCAGATCCAATCGTTTCAATCTGCAAAAGGAGTTAACCCCTCCCAACTGTTAACGGAGCTGAATGGAGCACCTCCAGACCTTAGTACGAAATGTCATTTGTACTATGGTGTGGTACGACCAGGCTACATCAGCCATAGATGCAGAAGGAAATTTAAATATGGTTGCTTTTTCTTTTTTCTTTTTTTTTTTTTAAGGAAAAACATAGTAATAGCATAACTAGTTTGGCAACAATATCAAAAAGGTGTTTTTCAGACAAACGTTGATTACATTCCCAATTCCTGTTTTAATTGTTTGCTTCTGTCCTTTGAGCATAATGAAACCTGTCCAGGAGCGTCGACATTTGAGAGAAGACAGGAATATGAACTGAAACCAAGCATTTCAGATCCAGATTCAGGTTAATTGCATTTGCAGTTAAAAAAAAAAAAGTACATAAACAAAACAAGGTAGAAAGAACAGGAAACAATTTTCAGAAAACTGCAAATGCAAGATCATGAAAGTGCTTAGTTTAAACTGACGACGGCTGTTGGCAAAACAACATGAACAAACAGAACTTTTAAGAGGACAAATCTCCGGCAGGCCTTTTCTGATTTCTTCATGGCAACCATTCACGTTGCGACATCAATCAGAGACATCTTAGTTTAATATGGGTTTCATTTATCTCCAGTTCTCACCACTTTCTCTGTGGTATTATTTATGGATAAAATAATCACTTTCCGGAGACAGACCAATGGGAGAGCAGAGGTAATGAAAAGAACATTTGTGATGCCCCGACTGAACGGTTTAGTCTTACATATGACTTTTGTTTTCTCGTATTGTCAAATAATTTCCCCAAAGTTCCCTGTGCGCTAATTCCATTTGATTTGTGATCGTTGTATTTTGTATTGTACATTTGTTAAACTCTCTCTGAAGGACTTTGAACTGCCTTGTTGCCTTGAACAGTGCAATAATATCAAACTATGACTGTGAATTGCAAGCCAATAATTTCACCACAAGGCTCGATCATGATATGATTACGCCGTCATTGCTCGCAGCCTGAGTGCAGTCTCTTCTGAACGGGCGTTGTTTAGCGGCTCAGGGCACATGATGGACTCGATTGCTGGCGAGTTAATGGCAGAGGCTAACAGCAGCTTGATCCAGGCTTTTGACTCACCGTGATAGTCTCCTTGGCTGGGCATGTTTGACAGGATCACCTTCATGCAGCTGTAGGGAGTGTAGTCCGCTCTCCTGCCTTCCTTTCCGAACATGTGGCGGATACTATAGGCGTATTGTTTGTCAAACTACAGAGAAGAGGAGACATGGGGTCACAGGAAGCATTAGTGAGGATGAGGATGTAAGGAGGACAAGGGTTGGGGTGAAATGAGACACAGTCATTCATCATGGCAGCGCTGACAGGGTGTTTCCTCGGTGAAATATAGAGCTATTAGAGGAAACCTGCTGTATAGGTGTCACCACACTTGAGATAGCTGAATTATGAATACTGTAACACGCTCAACTTTCTTGATCAATGAATTTGCGACCGGCCATTAACAGGGAATTCACACAATACTTTATAGGATTACATTTCAAACCACAAACAGTTTTTTAGTGACCAGCTATTTGTAAAGTTTAAGAATGACTAGTATAGAGAGTGACCTTCTTTTGTGGCCAGGCCCACATGAGAAGGCCAGGTCCTGTCAGACCACTAAAGACCACTAAAGAACTTAACAAAGTACAACAAAGTTCACTTTTTAAACCAATAGAGACTGTGTGTGTTCCTCGCACCAGCTCGGAAATGTGTTTTAACCTGAATAAACACAAATTTAAAAGAAGGACAGCAGTTAGACGGTCCAACTCTGGAAATCTAATTCCAGTTCTTTGTAATCAATCAACTAAACCCACTGACACTGATATTAATTTTAACCTTGCTCTACTTAATGTCAGATCACTGTGCAACAAATCATTTTTAATTAATAATTTTATCTGTTCGTATGATCTTGATTTTATGTTTATGACTGAAACATGGCTTGACCATAATACAGGAGATGCAGTTTTAATAGAAGCCTCACCACCAAATTTCAAATTTGAATATGAAACACAAGAAAATAAAATGGGGGGGGGCATAGCAGCAGTTTTTAAAGATCGTATTGTCTCCCATAGAGTGTCTCTTGGGAAATTTTCATCATTTGAGTATGTTTCTTTTAAAATAGAACAAAATTCTTATTATTGTTGTGTACAAGCCGCCACAGTCATGCCATAGTTTCACTGATCATTTCACTGAGTTGCTTTCAGTTGTGTGCACAGATTTTGATGGTTTAGTCATTATAGGCGATTTTAATATTCATGTGGATAATGTTAATGACAGATACGCAAAAGAGCTGAGTTCCATACTTGAATCCTTTGGCCTCACTCAGCATGTGAGTGGCCCCACCCATAGCAGAGGACACACCCTGGACCTGCTTATCACGAAAGGGGTGAATATTTCAAAAGTTAATGTAGTTGATGTTGCTCTGTCGGATCATTTCTGTGTATTTTTTAACATGTGTTTTGCTACCAGACCACCCGCTAAATATGAAATTGTTAGAAGTAGACACTTAAATGAAAACACGGGTGAACTATTTATGGGAATGATCCATTTTGAGAACACATCATGTTCTACTGTAGATGAACTGTTTAACTCTGTCACCTCTAGTGTGTTGAATGTTCTGGACGCCATTCCCCTGTGAAGGTAAAAATGGTCACAAATAAGCAAAAAGCCCCATGGATAAAAGCAGGCCCGGTCAGGGCACAGAAGCAAGAGTGCCGGAGAGCAGAGAGAAAGTGGAGAAAGTCCAACCTCCAGGGTGATTATAAACTCTTAAAAGAGAAGTTGTGTGAGTTTAACAGAGTACTACGTAGAACAAGAGAATTATACTTTTCTGAAACTATTGAAGGCTGCAGCAACAATCTGCGTGTTCTATTTTCAACAATCAATAGATTAACAAACCCCCCTGTTGAGTTGCCATTAGAACACTACTCCAAATCCAGGTGTAATGAGTTTGCACAGTTCTTCAGAGACAAAGTTCAGGGTATCAGAAATACCATCACCTCTACAACACAAGTAACAATGCAACATCCAGTGAGGCTTTGTGAGCTAGCTCAATTTGCACCTGTCAATGATGAAACTGTTAAAAAGATAATCACAGGTCTTAGTTCCTCTACCTGCAGTCTGGATGTACTACCTCCTAGATTCCTGAAGTCTGTTATGTGTAGTCTATTACCCTCATTGACACAAATAGTAAACATGTCTTTTTTATCTGGAACATTTCCAATGGCCCTGAAAAAGGCAGTCATCAGGCCCCTACTAAAAAAAAGCAGTTTGGATGCTGCGGTACTTGAAAATTACCGTCCCATCTCAAATCTGCCTTTCATGGGAAAAATTCTTGAAAAAGTTGCCTACCAACAACTTACTGAATTTTTAATATCTAATGACTCATTTGACATGTTTCAGTCTGGCTTTAGACCACACCACAGTACTGAGACCGCTCTAGTCAAGGTAACAAATGATATTCGGCTTAACACTGATGCAGGAAAAGTCTCTGTTTTAGTCATGTTAGATCTGAGTGCCGCTTTCGACACCGTTGACCATGAGATTCTCATGCAGAGACTGGAGGACTGGGTTGGTGTTGCTGGTACCGCCCTAAGCTGGTTTAGGTCCTATCTAGAAAGAAAGGAAGTATTGTGTGGAGATTGGAGACTATGTCTCAGATAATATGGCCCTGACCTGCGGAGTGCCACAGGGGTCGATTCTGGGACCTCTCCTGTTCAATATTTACATGCTGCCATTAGGTCAGTTAATTCAAAGTATGAAAGTGTCCTACCACAATTACGCTGATGACACTCAGATCTATGTCTCACTGACTGCAGGAGAACATGGACCGGTGGACTCACTCCTTCGCTGTATCCAGCGGATCAGTGAGTGGATGCAATGCAATTTTCTCCAGCTAAATGCGGACAAAACCGAAATGATTGTCTTTAGTCCCGAGAAACAAAGAGAGACCGTCCTTTGTCACCTTCAGTCTCTCTCCCTAAGGCCTTTAAATAAGGTCAGAAATCTGGTAGTAATAATGGACTCTGACTTAAACTTCAATAGCCACATTGGATCGGTAACATCAGCAGCTTTTTATCATCTGAAAAATAGCGCAGGGACGGGACTCCTGTTAGTGCCCAGAGTCAGGACTAGACAGGGGGAGGCTGCTTTTCAGATTTATGCAGCTAAAGTCTGGAACAGTCTTCCTGAGGATGTGAGACTGGCTGCCTCTCTGTCAATGTTCAAATCCATGTTAAAGACTTTTCTTTTTTCCTGTGCATACAACTAGAGAATTTTATCGTTTTAACACACCTTGTTATTTATTGTTGTAACTTTTTGTGTTTTTAACTATTTTATTGTTTTTAATTACTTGTGTGATTCTTATGTTTTTAAATTACTTATGTGATTTTAATGCTTTTTAATTACATATGTGTTTTTAATTGTATTTTAATGGTGATGATTTGCATTGTGTGGTGTGGACTGTGAGGCGCTTTGTGTTGCCCTGTGCAGGAAAAGCGCCCTACAAATAAAGATTGATTGATTGATTGATAAAGCAAAGGAGGAAAGAGCCTGATTAATACTGTGATGGGAGACCTCTGGAAACACCAGGTGCTACAGTGGAGCGGCTGTAAAATACCGCTGTTTTGTGTAATTAAGCAAGACACTTAACACATATTGCCTCGAATGAGTCTGGTTTGTTACATGGCTTGTGGGGGTCTGTGGTGCCAATGGTACATAATGGTTGTCTTGGTTCTGTCACTATGCCCCAGGAAAAAAACCATCCCATGTATTTAAATGAAATAAAAATGCAATTACTGATAAAAAACAAAAAACTGTAAATCAGTCTACAACACACATTATTTCTGTTTCTATCCAAGTATAATCGTACTAAGTAAAACAAGAATTTTCAAAATCCACATTCAATAAAAGTAATCATTTGTTTGAAATACGTCCATATTAAATAAAATAAAAACATGATGCAAAAGATGACCTCTGCAAACAAGAAAAAGAAAAAAAGTATCTACATTGCCACAAAAATCTGGATTTCTACTTTTGTGTTCATCTTGTCAACTTTGTGAATGTTATTGTTTGTGTGATTAACTGAGCTTTTCTGATGGACATTGTACAACATTGTATTTGAACATAAATGTAAGAGAATTAAAGTTATTTAAAGTGCTGGGTTTCAATTATAAACTCATCAGCAAAAGCCCTTATATGACAATCATAAACTCTTTCTGGCACAGCACGTATTTATCTACTAAATTGGGACGCTTATAACTGTGACTTTGAAGCCGCAACTATTCTGTGAGGTGTAGGCCTCCTGCTAGGAGAGTTTCTTCCTTTGTTTATATTGTTACAGAAGCATTAAAACAACCATCTTACGCTTTTTAAACGTATTTCCCCAAATTCCAAAAAAGAACTATGTATTCCTTTGTCAGCCTTGTTATTCCCCAGATTTTGGATCCTAATTTTGGAAGTGCTTTTCCTTATCTAATGCACAAAAATGCATTATGTGATAATTGCTTCAATTATTATTATTTACCTACAACATGTAAACATACTTTATGGACATCATGACTATTCTTTATCTGTGTCGCAGGTAATAGACTCAGTACAACTAAATAGCAAAAGATAAATCAATAGACAGATCTGGAGCAGTGGCTGAGTACCATCACCTTGACGGCCGCCATCACAGCACATTAAGCGGCCAATAAAACCCTTGAACCCCTTAATGATACGAGCAGCAGCGCCAATTTAAAGATGGCATAAAATGTTCTTTAAGTACAATAAGTCAAATATTAATTATATAAAGCCATCACTTTTAGAGGCCATCTCTAGATTTAAGATCCTCCTATTCTGTTAAAACGAATGGAGAGACTGTTCACTCTTGCCGGCCTATCTTTTTATTATTATGTGAAATCATTCGCATATAAAGCATCCTGAGTGGTTAGAATGGCCAAAGGCTTTGATATGCAATGGCCTTCAACTTTTACTTACAGAAAATATGAAAAAGAATTTGGACAGACTTTTTTCTTTTGCACAATAGTTCTGTGACCTCTAAAATAGCAACAAGGCTGCCTCAAGCTACTTAACTGGTTTCATCTTGTTCCACTTACTTCTAACCGATTTGGATGGCCGCAACTTCTTAACAGAAAAAAATAATTCCCTTTGCTACAAAGTGCAATGGATATAATCCTGGTAGACACTGTTGCTAAATAAAGGCAGGGACACAAAAGACTAGCCAAAAGTAAGTCCGCTTGATTTCTCTTGCTTGTGGGGATACATCGCACCAGCATCTCCTCATTCACTCGCGGACAAATTCACAAAAACCTGCGGCAACGGAAGACAGAGAAATAGGCCACAATCAAAGGGATTAGAGGAGGAGTGTGAACGCGTAACTCGGCTTGGCGTCTTATTTTGCAATGAAGTGACTCTTTAAATATAATCACATCAAAGAACGTCTTCACCTTAGACCGCAAAAACCACACGCCAACACAACATACGCACAATCATAATACTTTCCAAGACACAATATACGCTGATCTTTTTGTAGAATGTGTATAATGATGTCTTTAATACATTATTTTATTTTCCCTTTGCATTTTATGAAGAGCTGGATTTCTATTGTCTTTCTAAACAAATAGTACTTAAGCATGAGTGGCGTTACGGAGGTGTGGTCAGATCATCTTTTTTAAGCCAATTTATTTTTCATTTCTTTAAATAGAAAAAAGAAAAACTAGCTGACTGCAGCCCTGTTTATTTCTAACTCATCATTTTCATGTGTTATTATGGTTAAATCACTTAAATTAGAAAGTAACTTCATTGTACCATTGTTATAAGCATTATTAGTGGAGGTTGTCGGGTCTCCCCAATTCTCAGTGAAGCAATACCCAGTACATCAAGTGCTAATTCTTTAAATCTATACATGGCTCTTTTCCAAAGCAGTTCTGCCCTGAGACAAAAGCCTATACAAAACTCTCCAGTCCACTGCTGACAATAGGTTCTTTTCTGGAAAAAAAAAAAAAATTATAGATCATCAATTTCCCCACTCCAACTAGTCTAATATTACACTTCCTCCTCCTCCTCCTCCTCCTCCCTCCTCCCTCCTCCTCCTCCTCCTCCTCCTCCTCCTCCTCCTCCTCCTCCTCCTCCTCCTCCTCCTCCTCCTCCTCCTCCTCCTCCTCCTCCTCCCTCCTCCTCCTCCTCCTCCTCCTCCTCCTCCTCCTCCTCCTCCTCCTCCTCCTCCTCCTCCTCCTCCTCCTCCTCCTCCTCCTCCTCCTCCTCTCCTCCTCCTCCTCCTCCTCCTCCTCCTCCTCCTCCTCCTCCTCCTCCTCCTCCTCCTCCTCCTCCTCCTCCTCCTCCTCCTCCTCCTCCTCCTCCTCCTCCTCCTCCTCCTCCTCCTCCTCCTCCTCCTCCTCCTCCTCCCTCCTCCTCCTCCTCCCTCCTCCTCCTCCTCCTCCTCCTCCTCCCTTTCGGCATCACTAGCTCTCGTCTTTTTCCGGCGCGGCTCGCATACTAATGAGGTGGTTTGTGCAGCCTGCCACAAAAGTGCAGGCCCCGACACAACACATACATCACAGAGAAGAGGATCTGGTCAGCAGCATCGGACTGCTGCTGTGGAGAAACAACGGCTCGATTTGTGCAGAGATTGTCACTATTTGTACAGGACGAAAGAGGAAAAGGTCGTACGCTAAGGTTAGACGAGAACGGAAGAAGTAAACAAGAATGATTATGTACAGAAATAGGCACTACTTTTAAAAACGTAGTCACAGCATAGGCTCTACTTATCCAATAGAGCAGTGTTTTTCAACCACTGTGCCGCGGCACACTAGTGTGCCGTATGATATTGTCTGGTGTGCCGTGAGAAATTCGTCTACTTTGTCTAAAAATAACTGCATTCGCTGTTGACGAGCGGTGACTTGTTTTGAACTGTGGAGTAACCATGTAATACTTTTTCAAATCAGTAGATGGCAGCAGATAGCTAAGTACTTTGAAACTGAAAAATTGGATGCGACCACTGGCTGTAACAGGTCAGCATTGTGGCGAGAAAGGTCAAATTGGATGCGACCAACAAATGTGGGAGGGAGCGAGACAAGAGCTTTGTGGCGAGTCAGAAGTGAAAGTGATAGAGATGTTTTTGAAAATGAATTATGCCGTTTCTGAACAGGATTAACATCCTCCGCTCTGCCCCGGGGCAGCTGTGGCCGCGTTGTAGTGGTTTAACTATGAAATGTACAATTTTTGTACAACAGCTCTCGCGAACGCACTTCTGAACTGGGTACTGAGCGCAGACCATAGTCGAGTGGACAGAACCATAGACATGCGGACCGGACAGAACCATGGACTCGCGTTCAGGACCTCCCGTGTCCCTCATCCAAAACTCCTGAATTTAAAGCTCGGATACCTAAATTTTTCCCATGCACTAACAATGCATGTTCTTTGTGTGAGTTATTATTTGACTATTTGGGCAGAGAGTGGATTTTCTTAGTTTTTTTCCACACAGTTAGTGCCACTTTATTCCCAAACTCTTGTCAATTGTATCGAGAAATATTAAATAAAGCTTAATGTCAAGGCCTGGACTTAAGCATTTTGATGAGAATAACTGTATATAGTGAATATAGGCTACAGAGTATACTGTATACATTATAAGATAAGATAAGATATACTTTATATATCACACAGAGTATGTACAGTATATATTTTTTTACATTAGTACTGTATACATTTTTACATTTTCTCCTGGAGGTGTGCCGCAAGATTTTTTCAGTGAAAAAAGTGTGCCTTGGCTCAAAAAAGGTTGAAAAACACTGCAATAGAGAACTCTGTACCTTAATTGGTTTCTGATAAAGCAGCAAGTCAGAAGTTACCATAACGCAGAGAAAAGAGCCAGTGGGCACAATTTATAAGCCATTAAATACATTGGAAAAACAGCAATGCTAGTGCAACACACATTTTGTTTGAACAAAAAATTGGACCTATAGTGGACCTGACAGTGCCTTGAAGAAGAATTCATACACCATGAACTGATCAACATTTTGCGACGCACACAAGATATTTTAATAATTGTTTTCCAGCAGTTTTGCCACCGATTGCCAATTTGATAAGTTTGGACTTCAATCTAACACATGTTCTTCTTTATACCATTCAATTCGTTACAAATCATTTACCCATTTTTGTTTGCTGCACTAATTATGTTAACTCACTAAAAAATTCTATCAGACGACTTTAGCTTTGTCTTTTTAAGCATGTCACCAACTTTACAGGAGCCACTGTGACCCTCTCAGCAGCTCAGGTCTGCAGGAAGCTGCAACATAGATAATGACTGGCCTTTTTTGATGAAAAGGTTTAGTGTTGATGTATTCTAAATTGAATTGTCCACATTTTTGTTAACATTTTATATTTAGGTTCTGGTTATCCAATGGAAATGTTTACTGCCTCCCAGTGGTTATAAACTTTGAGTAAATGATTATTGACAGACAAAAGAAGGACGTATAAAAGAACTGTTAAAGAGAGTGTTTGTGTTACATACAAGGCCACTTTGGTTGTGGTTGTAATCACGAACCAATCCTTTGCTTTCAAATTCTAGATATCATGTTGGTTTTGTGAATGGAAGGATTTTCAGGTCTACCAACAACGAGTGAAAAGTGCATCTGACACCAGCACCTTATTTAAATGTAAAAAAACAGGAAGAAATTGTTCTAAGGCACAGCTCTAAAATAACAAAATGCCTGTTTGGATAATAGGTGCAACAGTATGGTGTCTTTGCAGATGCTCAGTGCATTACCTTGTCAGCGTCCACTTTTCCACGGATGAACTCTGACCTCCAAAACTGCAGCGCCTGCTCCAGAGACAAACCAATGCCTTTCAAAAAGAGGCCGTACTGCATCCGGCCGCCATGACGCAAGTGGTGGTTTTCACGCAGCGACTGATGAAGTTGCTTCATGCAGAGAGGGAACGACTTTCCAGAGAGCTGCAAACGGTGACATTAGGTTAATAACATTTATACTGCAACAAGACATCATTGATGTCTTCTATTCATTCATTCTTCACATTTGTGCGACTTCTGCCATATCAACCACAAGTTTATTAGAGACATGTTTGTACTTCTGTGGCAGCAACCCCAACAACAACATTCAAACAATGTGAGACTTACTGAATCGATTTGTTCCAAGGAGATTTTCCCAACATTTTTCTGGATGCTGTAGTCTTGGCCAACATAAGCATGACTTACAAAAAACAAAAACAAAAATATATATATAAAAATTACAAAATCATAAAAACAAGTCTACAAATATACAAAAAATAGTTCAATTTTCCAACAATTGAATTTGAACTATTTTATATACGGTAGAGCAATATGCTTGTCAATTTCACCACATGAATCAATGATATTGAAACTTAATCAGAACTTGAAATCAAGTCCTTTTCAAACTCCAGTGTTCACCTGAGGTGGTTGAGGAGAGGCTGCAGCCGCTCATCAGAGTGCACTATGGGAAGTGAGCGAGCAGTCAGCTAAAAAAAGGAGAAGAGGATCAATTTTTAAAAAAAAACTAATTTACACATTCAAGAGGGAGAGACATTTCAACTGAGCATAGAAAAATAAACCAGCACTTTTCAGAGGTGGAGAAATATTAGTTAAGGAATGGAGAAGATAAAGTATACAAAAAATACAGCAAATTTCACATTAAAGAGAAATCCAATACTCACAGCCAGAGCTTTTGAGAGCCTTGTGCGAAAATCATTGATAACTATTGTGATTATGTCCTGATGGGGTATATAAACATATCCAGCTTTAAGATACACTTTTCTTGTTCTGACTAAATCCAAAGCATCTTGGAATGGAACCTGTGAATAAAGTTGGTTGACCATAGTTCAATAATACATCAGTTAGGTTTGATTCTAAAGCTTGTCTGCTTTGGACAATCTATGATGAAAACAATGTTTCATGAGTAAATGCACAGATTGAAAAGAAAACACGCCAGCCTAAAGAACATATTTACAACATCTAAATATCAAGTGAAGCGACGACCCAAAGAGAATAATATATTGCAGTCGTCAAAAAATTTAAAAACGTACTTTGTAGAAGTCCTGCTCCTCCACTGTGATCCCGCTCACAGCATAACTGGAGCTGACTAGTTTATCCAGCAAGGTTTTCTTCTCTTCAACATTAATCTAAAAAGATTAATGATTTATTTATTGTTCCATTTGATAGGGACAGTGTACACAATCAACATGTGAAACAATAAAGCAGTACTGCCTAGGCTAATTTTCAATAAAAATATACATTCCAGTTTGAGCATTAACATTTTTCTCTAGATACAAAAACATTGTCAATAGTTATTAACTATTGCTGATTTCCTATGATTGCTCGTTGACATATCAAGCTTAAGGTGCAAGTGAAGAGCACCATCTAGTGAAATACAAGTGCAACACACTCAAGCTGATTTTTCCCCCCCCCCACAAACTCAGAAGCATAACATTGAATCCTTGAAAAATTATGATCTCTGGTAAAAAGTAAAGCATCTGTATAGGCTTTAGCTCATTCGCTACAAAACAGGATATTAGAATAGTGAATCATTGACAATTAGGAATCTTCTTTTAGAAAAACTAAAAAAATAAGCAATATGTCAGTACCGTGTCATACTGAAGATTATTTCTATGAAGAAACTCAAGCTTTTGCTTTGAACCCAGTTCATTAAAGCGGAATCTGAATAGATCCACTTCTTGTTGTATAAACCACCGTCTCAAATCCTCCCTTGAATCAACCAAAGAGGTGTCATTAGTGAACACTGTATACTGCACTCAAAATACATGCAGTTATTGAATATACGTTTGACAGTATGCAAGTCGAAGGATGAAGTGGGAGATGTGATCCTTTCTTCTTTTCTCAAACTCACTTGGACCAGTTTGAACTTTCCTGTCATCCTGCAGGAAAAGTGTAATGACAATCATGCTAAAACACTTTGTGGAGAGGCTTGACTTACCACTTCTCTGTATGGGAAATGCAAGTTTTTAAATTCACTTTCCAGTTTCCTCGCATAATGCTCTGATTGTTTGACATAGCTGACTCCCAAATTCTCAATGGTCTTCAACACTGAGAATAGACAAAAAATACCGAGGTGAATAAAAGCAGAAAAGTCCTTGATAGTGCTCTCGATATGGTACATTTAAGTACATTTCAGTCTTTCCACAGCAAACGTCTCAAATTCAGAGAGGGAGATGTTTTCAATGGGAGGCTGTCCATAGAACTGGATTGGTTGTCCATACATTTCTTCCTGAGCATTGTTGATGAGCCTTTTCCTTCTGCTGGGAAACTGCATGATGCCTACAATGCAGAAGTGGGTTAGGTGACAAAAGAACATAGAACCCAACGACATATAAATAGGATACGGTCACATAGGCTCATCTACATACGAAAACATGCAACTAGCTAACCTTAGAAGTAAGTCGTGATCATACAACAGACAAAGAGGCTGAGTGAAGACACCCGACGAGGTTATAAACTATAAATAAAGTTCAAATCAATACCGTGCCTCGATATGAAGGATAATTCCCCAAATAATCGCGCCAAACAAAGTACAAGCGCGGGGAAAGTGTCAAAGACAAACAGGAAGTTACAACACAGCTCCGCCCCCGAGCTACTGTCACGTGTGTGCGTTTGTTTTGCTCATGGGCACAGCCTATTCAAGAACATGTCCCGTTTATATTTACGTGTTTACAGATTACTACTAACATATAACACAAACTTTTGCGTAGAGAAAGAAAGTGTATTGTAAACATGTAAAAAGTAGTATAATATGGGCTAGAGTAAAAATACATTTTATTGGAACGGTATCGTCAGTGACCATCTGTAAACAGACATGCTCTTTAAAGAAAGTCATCAGCAAATGCAAAAGACTGCGCTAATTTGTATTCTTAAACACTAGTTGTTTACCAAATGTAAAAGTTAATAATTTCAGCTTCTTTCTGTTACATAACCACACACAAACATATGTAATATGTGTTAAATTCTATAAATATTAATGATGAGTCATTGATGTAGTATGTCTACTGATATAACTACTTCGTGTCATTTACTGTATAAAAATAAAAATATTGAAAATACTATTCACCGTTAATACTATTAAGAAATAATTTATTTGAGTATTCCCCACATAGAACTCTAGATGTCTCTATTTACCGCATAGACTCATCTGCTGCTTGGCAACAGCAGTCATTAGCCAGCTAGCCGTTGCCAGGTTAGCAGAGCTGAGGATCTATGGAGAGAAGGAAGGTGGAATCGCGATCTCTAGTGGGGTTGCCGTCTCATTTGAGAAAGAGCCTTTAGTGTTAGCAGTAGAAATAGTGCTAAAACTAAACTACCTTCACGTTGTTCTTGCACCGTCTAGTGCACTGCCAAAAGTGGCTAACACTAGCCTTAAACATTAGCTGCGCTGACTCAGTCAGGCGCATAGCTGGTGTAGCTTTAGTGACAGAGAATAGCGGACGATGATATGGGCGTGTAATTATGCATTAGCGGTTTGTGAGATCCTCTTATGAAGACAGCGAGGACTGAATGTGTGACCAAGGATTCTTCAAGGTAAGACAGAGAAAACTAGTTTGATAATAGCCAGCACCAGTTGTTAGTTACAGCTGTAACGTTATATCTGCGTGCTGTTCAACAGGTAGGATCATACTTCTAGCCTTGGTGCGAGAGAGTTCATGAAAATATCAACTTTGGGAATTATAATAAAGGTTAGCCGTTCTGTCAACTTAGTCTTGTCTTAGTTTTGTATCTTTTATGCTCTTTTCCATCTGCTGTTACGTCCTACTGAGGCACATAATTTTTGTAGTTATTAAAGCGGATTTGTGAATTTCCTCAATCCATTCCTTTATTATACTGTTAAAATATACAACTATGTTTGTGACTCAAGAGCAGACCGCCTGGGTACCACGCAGTTGTAGGTTATGAGTTCCCAGGTTCCCACTGCTAACAGCTTTCTCACAATATGTTTAGTTTTTCACCAGCAACACTCACATTTGGCTTTACGGAAAAAGCAAATGCTATTATCAAAAGAATGATATGAATCTTACAACTGGAACTGTAACGTTCTCTTTACCTCAAATGTAATATAGAAATATGTTGTGTGGAATTGTTGTTTTCACACTTTTCTGTGGTAAATAAATCTTATTTTACAATGTATATTGTTGTCATTGTATTGTCATAGGTTTTCTCAGGCAGAGTGGAACTAAAGAAACATTTACACTGCCGTCATGTTGGAGGAGGACATGGAAGTGGCCATTAAGGTGGTCGTTGTCGGCAATGGAGCTGTTGGCAAATCCAGTATGATCCAGCGTTACTGCAAAGGAATCTTCACAAAGGACTATAAGAAAACTATTGGAGTGGATTTTCTTGAACGGCAAATTGTGTAAGCATATTTGAGCAATTGGTGCTATTGTTTTAGTGAATGTTAGAACTTTTCCCCCTTATATTTTTTTAACAGTGTAAACAATGAAGATGTGCGGCTGATGTTGTGGGACACAGCTGGACAAGAAGAGTTTGATGCTATTACAAAGGCCTACTACCGAGGTAACAGTCTTAAGTCACATCAGTGATTTACTACTGGACCAACTGCAAGGCCTGTGAAGCCCTTGAGTCATTCCAGTCATTCTCTTGAGTTAAATCCAGAGGCGGTAAAATGTGTGCCAGTGTATTGAACACCATGCATCGACTTTCAAAGTTGCATCTTACAGTTTGTATTAATATGGTTTACTGTTTGTGCTCCAGGTGCCCAAGCGTGTGTGCTCGTCTTCTCCACCACAGACCGAGAGTCTTTTATGACCATTGACAGTTGGAAGGAGAAAGTGGAGGCAGAAGTGGGAGACATTCCAACTGTTTTAGTGCAGAACAAGATAGATTTACTCGAAGAGACTGTTGTTAAAAAGTAATTTTTTCGTTAAAAAATACTGAAAAATGTACTTTTATTTTATGTCACTATTGCCTGTTATTGCTGTTGCAGTGAAGAAGCGGAGGGACTAGCTAAAAGGCTAAAACTGCGCTTTTACCGGGCTTCAGTTAAAGAAGATCTGAATGTAAACGAAGGTAATGTGATTATTCATTTGATTTAAAATATATATATATTTTACACACATCATTATTAAATTTTTTCTTGTCTTGTCAGTTTTTAAATACTTGGCTGAAAAATATCTACAGAGACTAAAACAACAAACAGCAGAAGAGACAGAGGTGGTTCACACAACAAGCAATAAAATAGGTAAAACAATTCATTTCTGAACTGTATTATTAATGCACAGAGTTTACTGTGTGAATGTTGTCTTTCTACAGGTGTATTTAATACCACTAGTAATGCTTGCAGTCAAAGCCCCAATGGCAGAGAGATTATCACTTTGCGACCTAGCAAGCAAAGGACCAAGAAGACTAAAAATCCATTTGGAAGCTGCAGTGTCTTCTAATGCAGGCGGCAAAGTCTCTTTAATCAGTCTGAATGGAACAAGCTGGTTATTCTATTCATCAAAAGTAGCCAATCTTAAGACCAAAGCTCTCCCAAACAGACTCTTGAGCAAAAGATGTTGACAGTGGCTTGCAAAAGTACTATGAGCCCCACTTTTAATACATATATTTTTAGAATAACAATCATATTAATTTGCTTTCACTTCATGTCGTTTACTTTGTGGTCTTTCAGCAAATAAAATCTAATCTAAAATATATAAATCAAAAGTAAATGAAGCTCGAGTTAAAGCTAGTTCTGCATGCCACTGTATACTTCCTTTTACTCCCTGTGCATTGGTTGGTGGAACATATCAAATATATACATTGAATTGTTTAAACATTATAAATATAAATAACTCTTTGGTTCTCTTACCTGGGCTGCCTTGAATCAAAACACTTTTTTTCTTAGTTCTTTTTTAACAAGGCATTTTTGTTTATGGACTATAAGTTGAAACAAATATTAATGCATGTTTTGCTTGCCTAAAAAAACCACAAATTCAGAGCAAAGTATTTTTCTAATGACGCAGTGTTTGTAGACAATTCTGTACGTGTTAAATGGTGCCAAATGTACAATTTGAATATCGAATTAGATTCCCTTTTGTACATGTGAATGTCCAGAATGTATGATATTTAGTGCAGTTCTAGGCGAAACATATCATTACAGTCCACCTTTGAACTAAACGCTGGTCAATTTCAAGGTTCAAAGAATATTTATAGGTTCAGGTACAAGGTTTAGTACGTGCTTTCCATTCCTAATGTCAAATACATTGAATAAATATTTACATTACAATGAAATAATTCTTTAAAATCAATTATTACTATCTACTAAATGTTGTCAAAATGATTTAACTAAGGATTCAAGATTGTAATTTGAAAAGCACATGGGGCGATACATGGTTTCATATGAGATGTCTGTTTTGTGCCTGATTTAAAGTCACAGTCAGTGCTCAAACGGTTTTATTTGACCCAGCGGAATAGTGTCACATTTTGGGATTCCAACTGCATGCAAGTGTTTCATTTTCACAATTTGGGGAATGTTTTACAGTTAAGGTACTTTTGTTGACATTCCTTCTAGTATGTAGTAATTCACCTTTACAAATTAACAGCTTTTTGTTTTCAAGCGCACTTTATCATTACAGAAAAGAATATATTTCATGCAAACCATTCAGTGCTGTCACTCAGGTGTCTTTAAAATAATGTGTTGTCTTTTATAACTTTTGAATTCAGTCATGTATGCATTCAGATACTACTCACTTGTGTTGAATATACAAATGTACCAAATGTACAGGTGCCACAAACCTGCTTTAAAGTTTTGGTTGAAATAAAACATTTTAAGCTGTTTGGTGACTTGAATGTATTATCAACTGAACAAGAAGAGAACATGAACTACTTAAGACTAATGGCTCAAAAGAGTGTACTGAAAAAATGTTTATATTTGGTTATATAATTCAATTCTTCAAAAAGAAACCAAATGTATGCTCTGTGAAAATTGTCCACCCTAGTGGCCTGATCAGTGCTGTGCGGCTGTGTGACTTATGGTTTGCACAAAGAGGTAGTGCAGTGTCTCAGAACTGTCCATGGATTTGGCTGGAGAGTCTAATCTGCGTCTTTCTCTCACCACTCATTAGTGACATTAGAGGCCATTGGCTCTGGGCTCCTCTAGTTTCATGTTGTCCATCAGTGTAATGTTATTCTGGGCGTTCTCCGTGTTTCTCAACAGCATCTCCAACCTCCTCTTGATCTTCTTCTGGTCTTCCAGGGCACAGCCGATGACCAGAGCCTGAAATTTCTGGTCAATGGGGACGGGAGGCGCCTCAGTGACACATGCTGCGTGCAAAGCCTGCAGCCGCTGTCTCCCAGCTTCCATGTCGCCCAGTAACTTCTTCACAATCTCATTGATGATGGATGTAGCCTTTCGCAGTGCGTCCTCCTGCTGGGGGTTTCGGATTGTCCCCACACACACCTCCACTGACAGAGTCCTTCCCATCAGTCGCTCTGCAGTTAGACTCAACTCTTCTCTTTCACCTTTACAAAACAGAAGCAAAACATGAGTGCAATGATTTAGATACCCATTTAAAGGTTGGATAAGAACAGGTGTTGTATAGTCTTCTGAGATGGACAGGCCCTCTGACATGTTTAAGCAGGTTAAGACAGTCTGTTGCTGGATCAACTGAGGATATTTGTATTTCTTTTATGTCTGTGATTTAGATTTATGCTTCTGTTTGTCAGCACTTGAATGCCTTGTAGAATTGTGCTATAAAAAACTGCCTGCTGCCTGCCTAATGACATGCGCGACATATTTTTGTTAATGCATGTGGACAAGGGTGGGAAAGGGTTAAGAGCACTGTAGTGAGATGTAACTCTGCCTGGGTGAGGTCAGTCTCATATCTCCTAGGGCTTAAACCACACGAAGACAAGAACAGAAAACCTCATCATATAAAAATGCTCCACACCCTGGACAATGGAGAAGCAAACATGATGGAACACATGGGTTTCTACACGAACTGCTTTGGTGAACTTTTGAGATAGGAAAGGAGTGTTTTAGCGCTTTGGTTGGGTTCATTTACCATCACTTATGCTGCGCATTTCTTGACCGTTTTTTAAAGACTGAATCATTTCCAGGATGCACTCCCTTTCCTGCTCCATTGCCGACGCTGTGTCCCGCAAAGTCTCCACCCTAAAAGACAAACGCAAAATGTAAAAGGTAAAAATCGTTAATGTGGGAAAGGAAATATGAACCACGGAGCTGAAAGGTGCAGTGTCTTATAATTGCACAACATGTGGCACCGTTATGTTTCTAAATGAAGGACATATCCCCATTAGATTGTTATGGCACAAAACAAAAAAACATACACCGTATTTGATACACATATACAGTCTATGATATACACACATGCTCTGGCTGCAAACGTGACCTCACCTTATTTCCAGCTGATCCAAAGTTTCCAGAAGTCTCCCAGAGCGGTCCGCCATGGACAGGGTCCTGCTGAACTTGCTCGCTGAAGACTCGTTCATTTTCGCTTGTATTTTGGCTTGGGCCATGATGATTCAGGCTGTTTTAGATCGTAGTGTGTATAAACGTGGTGAGCAGTGTGCGACTCTTGCAGCTGTTCACTGCACGACTCAAAAGTACTAGTACGTCGGGACGGACGCAGTGCCCTGAGGACTTCCAAACATGGGCAGAACTTCCTCCGCCGTGCAAGTTTCCCGAGAAGCGGACAGAAGTGTTGTCAGTGAGAGTGCATGGCCCCTCCCATCAACAGTATCTCTGAATTCACGTTTATACAACTTTCATATATGCAGCAAGAACAGAACTAAAGGTGATTATCATTGTGATTCTAGTCAATAGTGGGAACTAAGCTTTGTTTCATCGTAATTAACCAAGTGTATGTGCGCAATCAATAAGACAGCAGTCATAAGCTGGATGACCAATAATATATGTTCATAATAAACACAATTATCATAACAAAACAAGAGAATTTATTGAATATATTTAAACAAAACAATTAATTCCTGAACATGTATTTACTCTTGTCATTTCAGAAGTCAAGCATACTTCTTTTAATAGCCTCTTGAAACTCTGCAGGAAATAGAAAAATAAGTAATTGTTTATTCAAATCAATCCAGATTAGGGCACACTTGTTGGTATGGGTCACGTGAACTGGACCAATGCAATGTAAAAAGATCTTTACTAATGGATGCAAGACCACCAAATATGTGTCCACTAGTCACTCCAGTCAGTTGGTCGAGACTCGAAAAGGTCCTTCTAATAAGACACGAGTGTAAAGAAGCTAGTACTGCTTAATTACCTGACATATTTCAGTGGTAGATGTCTGCTTTCCTCAGACGTGAATAGGTGTCTTTATCAGTTGCAATTACCGGATGAGGCCAGCCTGGCAGCTCCGTCAGACTGTCCATGCCCCCCACCGCGCTGTGGTCTGTGGAGAAGTGACAAGTGCTAGCCAAGGTGAAAGCCCCTTCATCTCCGTTGATGGTCCGTGTACCCCGCGATTAGAATTAGGAAGCATCCAGAAACAACAGCTGATAAGACACTACCGCCAAAACATTTCAGGTAATTTAGCAGTACTAGCTTCTTCACTCTTATTAGAAGGACCTTTAAAGCCTTAAACATAAAGAACACATAATTAACTTTTTAAATTCAAACTTGGTCCAGTTAAAGTGAACCAGACCAACGAGTGAGAACAAGCCCTGAGAATGTAAGAGACACACACCAGCGGACTCCCTGGCCTCTTCTTCTCTGGCCTCATCAGCACTTAATGTTAACGTTCGGTTGAGCTCTTCATCAGATTCTGGTGCCACATCTACACGCAAAAAGAAAGCAGTTTGTTCTTTGTCTTGCTCGTTTATTTCCTATGTAAGCAATGTCATATACCAAAAATCATCCTATGTTAACAGACAAAATAAAGTCTGACTTAAAATAGTACTACTCTTACCACTGTTTTTGGTTTTGATCTCCACTGCATCCAATATTTTGACCGCTTTGGGTTCAGTCTTCACCATGTCAGAGCAGATCCTGGAGCTTGTGCAGGGCTCATAAGCACAGTGTTGGTCGTGATAATGTTTATGGAAACTTGGTATGTCCAGAAATATTTCTGAGCAAGCTCTGCATTCTATGTTGAAGGTTTTAGGAAGATTTAATGCAGTGTGCAATGTGTGGACATGAGTCTTAATTTGTGCATAGGCAGAATATTGAACACTGCATGGCTGACATACATACAGACATTTCCTTTCTGCAGCCAAAGCTCGCATGCACCGAGTATAAGCAGCTTTCGTGTCAATTCCACTCTCAGAGCCCATGCACGGACAGTTGTCAGTGGTAGTACTCACTCCAGGAACACTAGGCTGAATCACATTATCTTCGATACAGTAGTAATCTTGGCTATGGAGTCGTTTGTAGTGCTCCAGGAACTCTTCTTCAGACTCAAACTGCATGCTGTCACACAGGCCACAGAAGTGAGAGCTCTGAACCTCTCCATTGTGCTCATTCACACAGTGTCTGTGCACTGTGGACTCTTTGAAAAACCTCTGAGGACAGTGGCCACAGATGAACCTCTGAAAGCTATGAGCATTCAGGTCACTACAGTGTTTCTGAACTTCTGTTTCTGAATCAAAGACGTCCTCACACATTCTGCACATCCAGCTTTTTGGGTGTGTGGTGGCTATGGGCAGGTCTGTGTTCAGTTGGATGGCAGGTTTAAAGCCACTGGTGGAAGGTTTGGCATCATCAGATGTGGGAACCTCTTGGGGAACTTCTCTCTCTGTGTAATAAGTGTGCCCAATATGGGTGTCCGACACATGTGAGAGGATATCTTCCTGTCGAGGCATTTCCACATTGCACTTACGACAAAAGTAAATAATGTTGGAGAGATGTGCACCTCCATGAAATCGACTCATGTGCAGGCGGGCGATGGAGGATTCGCCCATTTGTTTCCCACAAACTCCACACTGATGGAATATCCGGTTCACAGCCATAAGATGCTTGGAGGCATTGGCCTCTTCATAGAACTGCAGGCCACACTCGCAGAACCAGGCCATAGTGGAGAGTCTGCTGGAGCACTTGTTCTCCACAAGGCGCTGCCTTTTAGAAGGGAACTCGTCAAAGTCAATAGCTCGTTGTTTCTTCTGAAAATGAGCAGGTTGCTCAGACTTCCTTTTTTGAAGCTTCTCTGTCATCTTCTGTTTCTGTTGGAGTTCATGAAACCTGCTGAACTCTAGAAGTGCTCTTTCCATTGTCTTGATGAGCTCCACATTGTGCTGTGTCTGTTCACGGTGTTTCTTTATTTCATCACGGTTGAAGAAGATCTTACTGCACACAGAGCACTGACCCTTCACTTGCAGCTGTTTGACTATTTCTACTATAGTTTTCTCAGACTTGGCCACAGCACAGCCCTGTCTGCACTGCACACTGAAACCAAAATGTAAAAGCAGAGTGAGGAACACAAGTAAGTAAGTGAGTAATCTTAAGTTAATAGAAATACATCTTAAATTTATTTAAGTATTTTACTTGAAATGAGCTTGAGCAACTTGGTGCGAGACGAGCACTTTGTGACACAAAGAACATCGCACATTGAAAGTTGTGTCCTTGCACAATGCAATCAGACGATTCCTGGCATACTGAGGGACAGGTACAGGCGTAGCTTTCTCTCTTGGTTCTTGAGCAACATCGAATGTGAAGTTAACTATAGTTTATCACCATTAATGTAAAATAAAATACAAGAAACTTACCTGTCATGGCAAATGATTCTGTAAAATGATTTTTGACAGTCATGTGCTGGAGACACTCGTCGCGTACGTGGAAGAGAAGATAACAGGCAGGACAAGCAAAACACACAATGCGTTGGTATGTCTGGCTGAAGACATGACCATCAGGAGTTTTTGAGGAAATCTGTAAAATCAGTGATATTGAAAAGATATTATACAAAAAAGTTCACTGTGTAAGAGTCAGTTGTATTAACCACAACAAACCTTAGACTCCATGTGTCTCCTCCACTCTTCATTAGACTGAAAATGCTGACAACACGAAACACAGGCAAATATATCTGAAGAATCCCCTTTTAAGTGTATAGTTGGGTCACAAGGTGAATGGTCAAACCTACAAAGGTGTGAGATGATAGTCTCTTGTTAACAAATGAAGGATTTGAAGATGCAAATGGTATTTAAAGGGTTAACCTCTTTAAATGACCCTCGAGGAGAGAGGCATTCTCGTAGATTCTCTCACAGTTTATCACAGGACAAGTCTGTTTTGTTGGATTTAATCGTGGAAAAGGGACAGACTTTTGTCTTCTTCTAAAGTTAGCACCAATCGCAGCAGAATTTGCACCTTATAAAAATAAGACATAAGAATTACCCAACTGTGTTCTCTTTTCTTGCACTGATATTAACAATATACCTGGCATTTTCAGCCACATGTCAACACAATGCTTGGCCTCTTGACCCATTCCATTTGCAGAGCTAAAGGCTAGCTCCCGCTGTCCGTGAGCTTTCTGTAAAATTTGTTTTTCCTAAAAAAACAAAAAAAAAATTCGTGTAAAAGATTTTTTTTTATAATCAGAAAATAAATACATAATTCAAAAAAATACCTTAAAAGCTTGACATTTATTTGCCCTCTCTTGTTTTTCTAATGCAACCTGTTGTGCAAGTTTGTCCAACGTGGACGCAACATGCTCTTTGTGACGGCTGAGTTCATCTTCAATCTGAAAACCAAAACAGAATTCCACATTATATACTTGGACTCAAGACTATTAAGAATCGTATTTTTCATCCCTTACCAACATCGGTGAACCTCTATCGTCACTGTCAGTGTCACTAAGAAGGTCAATACATTCTTGAACTTGTCTTAGAGATCCCTCCTGGAAAAAGATCATAATATAGAATACATTATCATAAGAAAAAAATAAAAATAAATAAAGACTGCATATAAATGCATGTGCATGTGGTAGGGGAACTCAATGTGTTGAAAATCATGATATGTCTATTGACCAAATTAATATATTATTTAAAATGAAATGCTTAATACCAAAATTACCCCAGACGCAAAAGATGAGAAACAAACTAAGTACAATAAGAGCCATTACACTAAAATGAAAAACAATAAAGAATATTTACAGATATGAACTCCACTTCATCCACTTCGTCATCCTCTGCTTCAAGTGCGGAAGACATAATCTTGAAAAACATTTAAAACAAGCTAAGATTAAACTGTAGCTATTTATTCATCCTTTTTATTGCACATACACAACATAGTCTACTATACAGGTCCTTCTCCAAAAATGTGTATATTGTGATAAAGTTCATTATTTTCTGTAATGTACTGATAAACATTAGACTTTCATGTATTTTAGATTCATTACACACAACTGAAGTAGTTCAAGCCTTTTATTGTTTTAATATTGATGATTTTTTTTAAAGAAAAACCAAAAATCCCCATCTAAAAAAATTAGCATTTTTCATCAGACCAATAAAAGAAAAGTGTTTTTAATACAAAAAATGTCAACCTTAAAATAATGAAGTTCAGTTATGCACTCAGTACTTGATCAGGAATCCTTTTGCAGAAATGAATGCTTCAATACGGCGTGGCATGGAGGTAACCTGTGGCACTGCTGAGGTGTTATGGAGCCCCAGGATGCTTCGATAGTGACCTTAAGTTCATCCACAGTGTTGGGTCTGGTGACTCTCAACTTCGTCTTCACATCATCTCACAGATTCTCTATGGGGTTCAGGTCAGTAGTGTTGGCAGGCTAATTGAGTGCAGTAATCCCACGGTCAGTAAACCATTAACCAGTGGTTTTGGCACTGTGAGCAGGTGCCAGGTCGTGTTGAAAAAGAAATCTTCATCTTCATAAAGCTTTTTAGCAGATGGAAGCATGAAGTGCTCCAAAATCTCCTGATAGCCAGCTACATTGACCCTGACCTTGATAAAACACAGTGGACCACCACCAGCAGCTGACATGGTACCCCAGACCATCACTGACTGCGAGTACTTGACAATGGACTTCAGGCATTTTGGCATTTCCTTCTCCCCAGTCTTCCTCCACACTCTGGCACCTTGATTTCATCCGAAAAAAAAGTACTTTGGACCATTGAGCAACAGTCCAGTGCTGCTTCTCTGTAGCCCAGGTCAGGCGCTTCTGCCGCTGTTTCTGGTTGTGGTTTCTGTAGCCCATTTCCTGCACACGCCTGTGCAGGACGGCTGTGGATGTTTCTGCTTCAGACCCAGTCCACTGCTTCCGCAAGTCCCCCAAGGTCTGGAATCGGCCCTTCTCCACCATCCTCCTCAAGGTCCGGTCACCTCTTGGGGTTGTGCAGCGTTTTCTGCCACACTTTTTCCTTCCCACAGACTTCCCACTGAGGTGCCTTGATACAGCACTCTGGGAACAGCCTATTCGCTCAGAAATGTCTTTCTGTGTCTTACCCTCTTGCTTGAGGGTTTCAATGATTGCCTTCTGGATAGCAGTCAGGTAGTCTTACCCATAATTGCAGTTTTGAGTAATGAACCAGGCCGGGAGTTTTTAAAAGCCTCAGGAAATGTTTAGAGTTAATTTGTTGGTTCAGATGATTAGGTTAATGGCTCGTTTAGAGTACCTTTTCATTATATGCTAATTTTCTGAGATAGGGATTTCTGGTTTGCTTTACTTTTTTGCCAAATTAATCAATATTAAAACAATAAAGGCTTGAACTACTTCAGTTGTGTGTAATTAATCTAAAATATATGAAAGTCTAATGTTTATCAGTACATTACAGAAAATAATGAACTTTATCACAATATGCTAATTTTTTTAGAAGGATCTGTATGCATGTCAGAACATAGTAAACATTTCTCATAGGAGACATTTACCAACTTGTATAGAGGTTATTAATGAGATTGCAATTTTTCTAAATACAAAGTTATACCTCCATCTGCTGATTTTCATAAAGTAACGGTTGTAGAAGGTAAATATACTAAAAAAAGATCGCGACACTTTAAGCTAAAGCGTTAGCTTGACACGAGCGTTTCCCTGACAATCTGCAAAAAGCACCAAGTTTTTACCAGATCAATGCGACAGGGAGCAAAGTCCCAGCGATCAGACATGTAGTTACCTGTGCCCTCAGAAGAACATGAGCCCTGTCCGAAGCACTGGCCTGTTCTTGACTATGGTACGTTGTTCTTGTCAAAGTAACAACATGAAGCTGTAGCATTTACTGTGACGTCACACGTGAAGAGCGCTTGTTCCGTTTCCCACGTGCCCCTGTTGGGCGGTGTTTAGACTTACACATTCCCATGTGTGGTCAGTTGATTTGTATTTGATCAACAGTCTATGATTTGATCTGATGACGAGTTTCTTAGATTTTAACTAAACTATTATCAAGGTGATTGATCGGAAGGAATGGTGATGATTATAATTTATTATGATTTGACATAATTAAATATACTCAATACGACAAAGAAGGCTAAAATGAAAAGTCAATTTTAAATGTCAAATAGTCCAAATAGTAGAAATTCGTTTGGCCTATTTTATTCGTTTGTGTTTTTGGTACAGACTTTAGCCGTAGCTACTTCTAAACAGCCTACTGTGACCAAAGTATGAATCTGCTGACTTACTACTCTTAAGAAATGAAATAAATAAATGACTTTTCCTCGAGCTGCTGAGTCATGCATTATCCCCCCACAGTAACGTGTCAATAGTTTGCGCTGGCTGCTTTGAAGTGCAGGGTGCGCTGGGTGTACGATGTCTCTGTCAGGGACTTTATTCACATTATGAGCTATCGTCCATAAACCGTGAGGAGAGCCAGCAGTCTGATGCTGCAGGCTCTGTCCATCCTGTCTTATGATGATCGCTGCAGCGTTTTTGGTTCTCTTGAGGCCGTACAGTATCCAGTGGGTGCTGCTGTTGTTGCTGCTTTTGCTAGGAACTATTGCGACTATATTGTTTTTCTGCTGTTGGCATCGCAGGCTCCGTAATGGAAAGCATCAAATAAAATCCGTGTTCTCTGGACGCCCCAAGTGCCGCGGTGAGTGGCGCAGCATCCTGACAGCTGTCCCCTGGATGCTGCTCTTCTATGTGGCCTAATGTTTTAGAATGCATCTTTTAGAAGTCCGTCTATTTGTTGTTAAAACAAAATGTGGGATAATGCAATTCATAGAAGTATTTTCGGCAACTTTATCCACTTTGAATAAAATATCTTGTCTTTTCCTATTTCATTTTCTTGCAGTGGGTCTCAGAACGCACCATTTTCGCTCAGAGGTAGGTGGACGAAGTTTATATCCACTCTACAGACTAAACTGTGGCGTCATTGACATTACTTTTCTGCAAACGGACTGTATTTATGATAAAAATGATTATAGTAATAGACTCTTCCTTATTTCAGAGTGATGACTTTTACAATTATGTGTCAAGACTGTAGACCACTCGCTCTATTTTAAGATGAACGCATTGCGCATGTCTAGAGTTACAACAATAAGAGTGATTTGGCAGATTTTTTGTATTATTATTATTATTAGCTCTTGGCATACTTTTTTGTTGCTCAGAAGAATATGTTACAATGAGAACTGCTTCACACTATCATCTATACTTTTGAATGCTTTCTTCCCCTTTTTATAAGTAAACATATGGTTGTGGCTTCACATTTGGTGCAGGCTTTTAAACACATGATAGGCCCAGCAGCAGAGCCCCAAACATTAATTTTGATCATACCACCAAGGTCATATTGAATCTTAATAAAAACCTTTCAAACAATTGAACAATGAACAGCAAACGTTGAACAATTCTGTCCTCAGGGTATTTGATGGCTATCCCAGATTACATTACACAGCATTCTTGGCACATGCAGTGGAGCTTCTATGCTACATGTTCCGACTAATCTGCCTTTGTTAGTCATTTTCCTTATCAAATCATTGAATCTCAGTATTGTTGTTTCCAAAAAACCATTTGCAGGGCTTCAGACACAGTCCACGCCACACAAGGAGAAGTGTGCATCCTCGAACCACAGAAGACATGTCTGCTTCGGTGAATGTTCCTGAAAGTAACCAGCTGTCATCTTCCAGTCAGCTAAGAAAACGCAGAGTCAAGAAGAGGGTGCAGCCAGAGTTCTACCAGTCTGTACAACTTACACCCACACATAAAGCTGTAGGTATACTTCTCTGACTGAAGCCTAATTTGTGTTTATTTGTTTGGGTAAAATTTACCTTATGCACTTGGTTGGTTTCAACTCCACTCAGCCTATCGGATGATTTATTTCTGGAAAAAAGGAAAACAAGATTGTGACCTCGAATCGTGTGCAACAACACAGAGACCTGCAGTCCACAGCAGGCTAAAAATATAACAAATGAAATAATTTAATATTCAATTCTAATGCAGATATCAAAATTACCTCACAACCTTTGCCCTACTTAACATATGTGTGCTGCTTTAATTTGTTTCCAGATTGATCTGCTCAATTGGATATAAATTAATATTTCAATAAATTAAAATGTTCAGTGGCTTAATTTGATTTATAGACATTTGTTTAGCTTTAACTTTATAGTATTTTCCAGTATCTTTACTTCCAGCTGGGCAGAGGTCATTTTCATAGAACACAATGTATTTTGCACCAAATAAATGTTGCTCAAATCTGTAATCCTGTCTGCCTGTGTTCTGACCATGTCAAAATTCTGACTGCTGACTCTGACCTGGCTATTATGTCATCGTTTAAACCCTGGGCTCACTTTACACAATAGTCAGCGTCGACAATCATTGTATCATTACGCTGAGTCAAATGTCATTTTTAAAGCATAAGCTATCTTAACAAGTTCAAACATGTCTCCATGTGAGGTGTGTCAAAGTACAATATTGCAACATCCATTTCGCCTGCATGTATCTGTTCATCATCCTCATCCCTGAACATGCGCAGTAGTGACTTCTTTCTGTCAGTGGGTGGCGCTAAAAGCCTGTGGTTTCTTCCCACACGGGGCTGAGGCTGTGGGTCCCGGCTCTGATGGCTGTGACAAAGGCAGCCTCCTCTCCCATCACAGCACACAGCCTCCCGTCACCTCAGGAGATCTGACATCACCGCATCTTTGACCAGACTCCAGCGGCCGCTCAGGGACCAGGCACAGGGCGTGGCGTGCGTTTCAATGGTTTCAATGGACGCGCTTAACATAGACTGTGGAAGCTAATAACGCACAAACAGGAGCTTTCTTCCTCGACTGACAGCTCACCATGTATACTGTGGTAAGTCTTGCTGTCGGCCTGGTGGGGGAGCTAGATACTATTGATTTGCGATGGATTAAAAAATGGTTCAATATTTCATTGTTATTGCTCATAGCAAGTGTTGGTACCGGTGGTGACGCGACGCCTCTTGTCAGTGTTGTTCTGGTCCACAGCGGCTCGCTCTGGTGTAGGGGCCACACAGATGTGCATGACTGTGGCACCAGCTGTGTTTGGGGTGAATCTGAAGCATTGTTCCCCCTCTCTCTATTGTCTACCAGAGCACCAGCTCGGGGAACCCTTCGCAGCGCTGCTCCATGTCTTCTTCAGCAGATCTTTCAGATGAGGATGAATACAGTGTTAAATCTGGCTCAGCGTCCCCAGCTCCCGGAGACACGCTGCCGTGGAACCTGCCCCGACATGAGCGCTCCAAGAGGAAGACCCTCAGCTCCATCCTGGACCCCGCGGAGCGTGCGGTGCTCAGGATTGCAGGTAAGAGACCTCAGTGTAAACAAAGCTCTGTGACAGACAGATTGAGGCGGTATGGGGCCACATGGACATTTCTTTTGGGATAGGCTACATGGAAAGAGAACAACTGTATATTTCCACTTTTGACAAACATCACATGATATTGTTCTCAGAGCATTAGCCAATTAAAGTCAATAAGCTGCCTCCCCGATCCTGCAACGTCAATGTAGGACTTCAAACTGTGATAAAGCAAAAGTTGCGATGTCTTTCGTCAAGGCTAATCGTTTTACATTCATGTTATAAAGAATACATTTCATGTTTCTTGACTAAAGTCTTTGATCCTATATTCTAATTAATCACCTGTGTATTAATAATTCCACATGGTGTGCAAATAACCAATGAGGCCTATTTCTTAAGCTCACCAACTTAATAAAGTCAATGCCTGTTGAGACTATTCGTTTGCATATCTCATTAGAATAAATAAGCCTACAGCTCCAGATCAGTTTTATGGAAATGCCCCGTGGTTTACGTCAATTAGTCTCACGGATGACTCCTATTGGACAGACCGCAGACAGGGGTGGGCCTTAGGGCGTTTCCTTGGGCCGAACAACAGCGCCCATCACTCTCCTCAGCCCACACACACACACACACACACACACACAACCAAGTACACACGCACAAACACACACGCGCGCACATGCCCAGTCCCCGCTGTCTGTGAGTGAATGTCCAGTTGGTCTAGTCCGGGTTATGGCTCAGTACGCACCGCAGGGTTGTACGTTTTCCGAAGAGCAGGAATATCTACAAGCTTATGAAGATGTTTTGGAAAAATACAAAGGTAGGAAACAATGTTTACTGGCTGGGATTAGGTTTGTGACGAGGAAGATATAGTTTGCAGAATAACAGTTCGATAATAGCTCATCTAATGACTATCTCTCTCTGTTGAGTGCCTGGTCATGTATGTCACTCCTGGGGAAATATGAATATGATGGCTTCACAATGTCTGAATGAATTCACCAAATATTATTACAATGTACAACGTATACTGGATTGAGTTGTCAGTCAAGATATGTGTTGCAATTCAAGTGATGTTAGAAATGCATGACACATTGATTCTATTAGTTATAGTTGCATAGCTGGTTAGAATGAGCAGGCTGTGTTGTCTGTGAAGTTTGTTGTTCTATGTCAATGCATGTTAGGTTCTGTTTATGCTCCTCAAGACTGACAAGACCATGTCAGACAGTGATGAGGGGCCAGTTCACGTCATTGGCTCCTGTCAGTTCTCACAAGCACTCTTTGGACTTTGTCTGGCTAATTAGAGCAAATCTATCACATCATTGGTGAGTGTTATGCTCCTCACAACATGCACGTGCCCTGTGAGTGTGAACACGCCTATAGTTTCAGCAGAGCTTCATTCAAACTGACAGCAGTGGTTTTCCCTCTCGTGTGACTTCCCAATCTCCAGCACCCCAACATAGACGTAATAAACCGTGAATTGTCCCACTGAATACTTTCTTTCATGTGGAATCTACAGCTGTTGTAGCCCGCAGCCGCAGTCAGCTGTGGTAACGCTCTGACAGCAGCCTAATGGGGGTCATATGATGCTGTATCATTATGAATATTCTGTTGTCTTCAGTCAGATGAGCAAACACACAGTGAGATTAGTTCATTTTTCCGATGGTGCGAATGAAACATCTTACAGCAAAACTTGACTCTGAAACATGGTCTGACCTCAAAGGCTTTAAAGATGAACCTGCTAAGAAATGGTAAGAATATTGATTGGTTGTATTTGTCTTTTGTTTAGCCTCTACTGTGAGGACGCTCGACTCAAAAGTAACAGACCAGTTTACTCACCCTTTCTGTTAATATAAACAGAATTGTGTGTCTTTGGAGTGGTCCTGGTATGCACTGAGCTAATCATTACAAACTAAAATACGTATTGTTAGATTCTTCACAACACAGAGCTACAGACGGAGCTCACCACTGTGATGATAGACTTTTCCAGGGAAACAATTGTCAAAATATTAGCGAAATAGTTTTAGACACATTGCTTTTAGGACCAGAACTAAGCTCGCTGCAGATAAACTCATTGCTGATAAAGTTCTTTGATCAATTATAAGTATGTCCAAGGTGCAGTCTGTTGTTGTGTTGTTTGCAGTTACAGATCACTATGAGCCCTGGGCACTCCTTCATGTCATGTGAAAAAGTATAAAAATAGTAGAAAACAGAACTTTGAATCAGCGGAACTTCTTAAAAATGACTCAGATGTTTTAAAGATAGAAGACTTAATATCAGCTTTTGTCTTTTTGCACTTTGTCTAACAGCTGACCATTCCTTCTTCATTTTCTTCACTATTATTAAATGTATACTTTTTGGCTGCATAGATGGGCGGGTTATGTTTCCACCAGGGTTAGCTTGCAAAATGTGCATGATTTCATGACATCTCATGAATGAATAAAACTTGGATTTAAGTTTGTCTACAGCATAGTTCCACAACTAGTTGGTACTGTCCTTACACTGTACAGCAATAAAAATAATGTCAACAAAAGCCATTTATTTTATTTATTAAAACTCATAACCCACCGTCGGCAAGACAACAAGCAAGCTAGGGGGATCAAGTTTATGGCAACAATTCGAAAAAGCCCTTCCAAGAACCCCTTGTTGTACCCTGATACTTAAATTCCAAGAAAAGCAGGGAACCAGGCCTGTCCAAAAACATACATTTCAGAGATTTTTTGTGGTTCTTAGTTTATTATTGCAATAAAAAAAAAAATCCCAATGATCAGTTAATCTTCACACCCATGTAATCACACCTTAAGTAGTGGAACAAAAGAACCATAAAGTGCATATAAACAAGGCCGTACAGCTAATTCACTATTGTGTACATGTATGCGTGACTGTTGTTAAAAATACCTGACTAATAAGGTCTCTAATAAATCTCTTAATCACCTGATATTTAATACAAGATACAAAAGACTGTAGGAATGTGTGTAATTTAGAGTTCGCATACAGTTAATGTTACAGCACTAGTTCACAGTGTTCTAGAGGAGACGGCTCAGTCAGATTACACTGGGCCTGGACGTTGCATTTCAAGGATTAGGATTTTGGTGTTTTTAGTTTGATTTCAAGGCTTCTTTAGGTTAGTCTTTTGATCCCAGATTACTCCTTGGCAGACCTATTTATTCTAAACGTTGTGTATATGTGCCATGTTGTTTTGGATTAGTCATCTCTTCAGCACTTCCTGAAGAGGCGGGATTTTCGGAGACAGACTCACTGAGCATCACTGATATGGGATGTACCCTGCTTCTGTTTCCTGTGCATCTTTGGGTGTGGTCCATGTCTTTCCCATAATCCCAAACTAAAACAATCTTTTATGTTGCTTAACTCATTTCCTTTTTGCACCAATTGCATCATATACAGAAACTAAATTTGAGTATCAGAACAAGAGGTTTAAATCACTCACTAAAGCAACATGCTGCCTATATATATATTCTTTATTTTAAACTGAATTTTAGTCGTGTCATACTCCATGTAGTAATAACGCATGATTAAAGTTGTAATAGCTACATAATGAGGTGTGAGAGAGCATTGTACATTTTTTTGCACAGTCACAGGCTTTGTCCGTCCTCCTGGCTGGACTGACCCAACCCCGCTGCGCATATGCTGACGGCCCACTCATCACATTCAAATGGTCCCACGTCCACAAATGTGCACAGAAACACACACAGGCGCTCACACAGGCCGCTCTTGCACAGTCTGCAGGGACTGTCTGACACTGTACAAAAGACACTTTGTTTTTATTCCAACCTCATCTGAGTTCCACAGAGTTGCTCATGTGTCAACTGCTCCTGGCTGGCACTCCTTCTATTGTCTTTCTATTTAGACTGAAATGTCAAGGCGCTACGCAGAGCCACATGGCAGTCTTTAGATGAATACAATTTATTTTCTAATATCTTGTTTACCATATATGCGTAGAAAACAATATTGACAAGCTTGATTTTGGTTTTAAGTGACCCAGATGAGTATTGATCCAATCAATGAAGAACCAGAGTATCTTTTTACACTGCCCTCTTGGTATCCTTTGACTGTTTTAAGATAAAGTCTGATTAGCGTATTGATTTTTGTCAGTGTAATACTAGTTTTATATGCATAGAGCCTTGCATAGAGTTTTTCCCAAATCTCAAGTGAAAAGCCATTGTTAAATGTCATTCAAAGAGATTATTGAATTTCCCCTCATGTGACTACCAAACCAAGTTATAGTTATGCTGCTGTCTTTGCTGCTGTCTATATATATATGTCACATTTTGTTGTATTTATCGGCTGCTATGGTGATAGGAAAAGCCTGACCAACTCGCCCCTGTTGTATGAGGTCACCCTGTCCCGGGACTGATTCACTCCACCCTCTCACACTTCAGCTGCACTGCTCTGCTCCTCTCAATGAAAGCAGATGCTAAACTAATCCCATAGAAGTGTACAGGGAGTTCATTTCCTCTCTTTGCGCTCTGCTCCTGGCCAGGACATGAGCACCTCCATCCGTTTTTAACATGTGTTTTTTGGAGGTGTAAGTTAAGCTAAACATACACTTCAGAGCCAGCGATAGGAACATGTTTGAGTTTTGACAGCTGTTGCACAACTGGGCTCATGTCAGGGTGTGAGTCTGTTGATGTTGGTGTGTTCTTAGACTGACTGCATTTACTCAATATTATGTTTCACCTGGGCAATTTCTTCTCAAAATATGATTATGATTAGATTATCCCAAAGCTAATTATTTGTAATTAATCGGTGACAAGTATTATTTTGTAGAATGGCATGCAGTTTGTGAATATTTTCATTGTTATGTTTTCTTGTCAAGCTTTTGCATGTATTGAGGGCGTGCAGCAGGAGCACAATGTGACAGTGTGACTGGTTTAGTGTCATAAACTTAAGTCTTTGTTCATTTTCACTTCAAAGTCTTCACTTGGCAGTAGCTGCACAATGGGTCTACTAATGACTGACTACTCGAAAGAAAAAGGAAACCTGTTTGATTTGTTTATGTCACATATTTTGCATATTTCTATAATAATAATTATTATTATTGTCAGCAAATGCCACTGACTAAAGAGGCATCTATTAAAACAGGATAATTTCACTAAAGTTTACAAAGAAATTAGTAAAAATCTCTCCATCCTTGAAACAAAAATGTACAGATGAGAAACATAAATATAAAACATATACATAATAGTCACTTGTTACAGCCCTAGTTATGCTTTTATTTGTAATTAAGACAGAATTATGGACGCATATGGAGGTTCCTGCTTAAAGCTGTGGTTCCCAAAGTGTAGATATGAGAGGCCTAATTTTTGTGAAGGAAGGTGGTGTAGTGGGCGGAGCTTAAACTGAATTCTGCCCTTGTGCCTAACTAAAGAATTAACCAAATCTATAGAACTGTTTATGATCCATCCATATTTCAGAATATTAGACAAAGTAGAACAAAAAGTTCTTAGTAAATTGAATATACTCTTAAATATACACTTTGTTGTGCTAAATTCATAATAATCAGTAATAAAAGTAATCAGTAATCGACAGTGGCTCAGTTGGTAGAGCACTGGCCTTTGAGCCTGAAGGTCGTGGGTTCGAGCCCACCTCAAGACCTACTTCACGACTTCCACTGATGACTGCTGTCGTTGTGTCCTTGGGCAAGACACTTAACCCCACTTTGCCTGAAGCCCCCACTGAAAGATCTCAGCTCCTGTGGACTCACCACCTGCAGGAGGATCAGTGAGGGGCTGGTGCTCTGTGACTGGGTGCAGCTCTGACTGCCACCCCCCCAACCCAAAAATGGATTAAGGGGAAGAAAAT